GCCGCCCGCGCAGGCTCCTCTGGGCTGGAAGAAGACCCACTCCCAGCTCAGGTTTTCTAAGTCTTCCCCTAAGATGGGCTGTGGCAACCAGCGCTTTCAGATAAAGATGAAAGAGGAGGCTAGAGGGCCAAGGCTGGCAGTCTTTCCTCCTCGCCCGTCTCCCCCGGGGAGAGTGCTAAGACCGTGATTTCCAGACGCATCTTTACCTACCCCTCTCCTAAAAATTTTGGGTGGCAAATTAATTTTAGTTCACTTTGGTTTGGAAAAAAATTAACATCAGATTTAGGGATAAAATTAATGCGATTTCCAGATCAGAATTGGGATCTTTCAGCCTAATTCAGGCAGAGAGCAGGTTGTGGAAGGTGGGTAGTGCATCTGATTGAGGGAGATGGAGGTACTATGACATTTAGAGGAGTTTCTAGTCCCCTCCTGGAGGGAGGGGCCCACCGGCTGGGTCCTCTACCCTTCCTCTTCTAGTTGCCAGAATGGAAAATTCATGGAGTCCAGCTTAGCCCAGGTCAACAAACTTTTATTGCCATTTCTGGCTCCCCCTGCCCCAGCAAGGTCCCTGCTTCTTACACTGTAGAAATACTGAGCTCTGGTGCAGGGGAACTGGGGCGAGGGTGGGGGTGGGGGTGTTACCTCACCTCCTCTGCACACTGCCAAGGTTAAAGAAACCCCACTTGCTAGAGAGGGAGGGCCAGACCGAAGGAATTCAAAAGCATGTATGGCTCAGTTCCACCTCTTCTGGCTGCAGAATATAGAGACCATGGTCCCGAAGAACATTTTTCAAAGGGGGTCGGGGAGAGAGGGATGAATTTGGCTGCTGTTGTCCCCCTTGCCCTTGCTGCCATGTTTCCATGGAAATGAGGGAGGAACAGGATGTACCTCACTCTGACTACCTGGAGGATGGCAGGGCAGGCATTTAGTAAACACACTGCCTTCCATTGCTACCCAACACATACAACTGTCCCCAGCTGACCCCCAAGCTCACTGCCTGCTCCACTCCCTTCCCTCTGGAGCTGGTATCATGGCAATTGGACTCCAGGCAGGGCTGCTGGGTCCACTCTCCAGCCAGGTCTTGCAGGAAACAGCTGGAATCTGAGTGTGTCCATCAACCTCAGTAGCAGCCTTAGTAGAGCAGTCAGTTACAGTGCCTCTGTGACAGGCAGCAGCTGTACCCCCACGACTCTGTGCAACTGTTGTCCCCAAACATCTTTGCCCAGATAAAACTTAAAAAAACATAAACCCAAAGGGGGAAGGTTAGAAACAATACAAAATAACTCTCTAGCAATGCTGAGGGCTAGAAAGGGGAGAGGAGGTGCATCCTCCGAGTCTTGAGCCACCTGTGCACCTGCCTGTTGCCTATCTGGAGTTTGCTTCTTCCCACTGCGCTGCTGGGGGGTGGGGGTGGGGCTGGAATACAAATCTCCATTGGATGTTGAGAGCTGTACCCACTGCTGTCAGTGACAAGGCTCCCTGTTGCCATGGTGAGGAGGTGCAGATGGATTCTCAGTACCATGGGTCAGCCCGGTGCTGCTGGTTGTAGAGCTGTAGCTTGATCTGATCTTTGATCTGATTCACGAGGATCTGGGACAGCAGGATTCCCACCAACTGGCAGAGGCAAGAAGGATTGGGCCCTCAGCAACGAGCAATGCCCCTGTTTCCCCTGGCTCAATCTTCCCAGTTTGGTCAGCACCATCTCATCCCCTGCTCCTCAGCAATGTCAGTGCCCTACATCCTAGCTGATCCCCAGGTGCCCTCCCCAAAACAAAGGAGCCTTTGCAGAATTGTGGGACCCACAAGTCTTGCAGGGTAAGTTACCTGGGGGATGGCTAGGCCCAGTGCCACACCGCCAAGTAAGAAGAGGTTGCTATGTATCCAGTTGACAAATTTGTCAATACAGCCATTGGTGTAGATGAATTTACTAGCTTCCAAGTAGTCAAAGGCCTGCATACCTTGGCCACACATGGTGTTGATCACTGCCTGAGGAGAGAGTTAAAAAGCCAAATGGGACTCTCATTCCAATAACTTTTTTTCAGGCCCTACCTGATGGGCTTCCTACCTTTCTTAAGCTTCTAAATTGTTAGAGAATATATGTGGAGGATGCTAGGTTGTAAGTTGCTAAATTCAGGTTTCCCTTCCTCCAAGAGATTCAAGTCCAGTCTTCCTTGCTTTAGAGACTTGCCCCTTCTGAACCCCCATGTGGGCTACAGGAGTGAAAGGTTAACAAAGCCATCAGATAGGGGTGAAGAAAAACATCTGACAGCTGTCCCCCCAAATTGATTGGTTTAGCTAGGGAACGGGGCTTCCCAACTGCTGCTGCCCTAATCAGAAAGTAACTGAGATCACTGCCCAGGAGTAAATGAGGTGTGAAGTGTGCTCACCTGGTTGGGGGTAGGCAGGCAACAGGAATAAGGCACAGAGCATCGCTCACGGCTGGGGTTATCTTCTGAACAGTTGAAGTACATGTTCAGGGACCAGTTCTTGTAGGAAATGCCCCCACAGCAGCTGAACTGCAACAAAGTCCACCACAGAGGTTAAGAATCACCCACCCTCACAATGAGGTGACCAGGAGAATTCTCTGAGCAGCCAAAAAGTCTATGGCAAGTTTCCACTTGTAAGTTCAGGTTGTGTTTAAACACAACCTTGAAACATGAGCTCAAGTTTCTCAGTGGTGACAAAGTTCTACAGATTAAACTATGAGCTCCTTGAGGGCAGTTTCTGGTTTTGCAGTCCTGCATAGCCTGGCAAAAGGAGGCGTTCAAAAATACTGACTGAAATAAAAGGCTCAGTGTTGCAAGCATTTGTGTTATTGTACAGAAAACACAGGAGGAGAACTTTCAATATCATGGGCCCATAATTATTCCATGAAAGTAAGTAGTGAGTGTTTGTTGTGCCAAGGAAGGGGAACTCAGCACTGATCTCAAAAGCATTTTTATTTAAAATTTAGCTTTTGATTCATAGCAGTACTATTCACAATAGCCAAAAGTTGGAAGTGACTCGTGTGCATCAAAAGATGAATGGATTGCCCAGCCGGGTGTGGCTCAGTGGTTGAGCATCGACCTAGGATCCAGGAGATCAAGGTTTGACTCCTGGTCAGGCATATACCCGGGTTGGGGGCACAATCCCCAGTAGGGGTCGTGCAGGCTGCAGCAGATCAATGACTCTCATCATTGATGTTTCTGTCTCTTTCTCTCCCTCTCCCTTCCTCTCCCTGAAATCAATAATGATATATTTTTTTTGGGGGGGGAAAGATGAATGGGTTAACAAAATGTGGTATATACATACAATGGAATATTATTCAGCCTTAAAAAGGGAGGGAATTTTGACACATCCTACAATATGGGTGAATCTTGAAGACATTATGCTAAGTGAAATTGGCCAATCACAAAAGAACAAATACTGTGTGATTCCACTTATAAGAGGTACTAGTATTGTCAGATTCATAGAGACAGAAAGTAGAATGGTGATTGCCGGGAGATGGGGGAGAGGGAAATGGGGAGCTATTGCTTAATGGGTACAGTTTCAGTTGGGGAAGATGAAAAAGTTCTGGAGATGGATGGCGATGAGGGCTGTGCAATAATGTGAGTGTGCTTAGAGCCACAGACCTGTACACTTAAAAATGGTCAAAATGGTAAATTTTATGTTATGTATATTTTATCACAATTTTAAAAAATTAATTTCTGAATGGAAGTTAACATTAAAAAATCTTCCCAGTTCCTCGTCCCCCTAAAAGCAACCACTTATAATGGTTTCTTACATATACTTTCAGATTCCTTTTGCAAATATGAATACACGTTCTTTCCTCCCTCTTATTTTACACAAGTGGTAGATTACTATATATACTGTTCTGTGCCCTTAAAGTACTTTTAAAGCACCCTGCATATGTATTTTTTTCCAACCCCCTTCCTAGATTACATTACCCTGGCAGGTAATGAAAAAGCCCACAGGCCTAGAGGGTGAGGCCTCTCGGGAAGGCACTGACTTTTGCTCACAGCCCCCCAGACCACTAGCTGCTCATGCCCACCTCTTAGCCCATACCTCCTTCTGGCCAAAATCAATGAGGTTCTGCAGGTCCAAGTCATCTCGGTAGTGTACAATGGCATTATTGATGATCTCACTCACTTTCCCTCGTGCCTGCCAGAGACATAGTAGGGAATCAGAACACAGAACTAAACCCTAACCTGCCCCTCCCAGCAGAAATAACAGTAGGCATTGGTCATCCTTGTTTATTTATGTGAGCCTTGAGACCAGAACCAAGCCCTAGTGACAGAAGATGGCTAGTTCTGAAGTCCATCCATCCCTGGGTCCTCAGGTACCAATGGACCTTCACAGAGCCACACTTCATGATAATCAAATATTTATCTACTTCTGAATACTATTACCACAAAATACTTGCTGATTGATGCCAAGCAGAGAAATATTTTTTTCAGTAGAAAAAGGCTTACTGAGCTGAGGCACTGACCTCTAGTGGACACAAGAGAATTACATCCCTTTAGACTCAAAACATCTACGCTTATCATTTTAGGATTTTACTAAGCCAGAAGGTCTAGGACATTCTGAATGAGTACAGGGGCTCTCAACTTCATAGTTTCTACCATGCTTGCTTCCTTCTTGCTCCACTAGTTTTCCCAAAGTGTCCTATCCATAGTCCTATACTCTGTCCCCTACAATCATTTGCCCTTTGAGAAAAGAATTCTGATTCTTAATGAAAGGAACTATCACTGAATGGCAGATCACGTCCAGATATGGTAAACACCATTCAAAATCCTGTTTGCTTTCCTCCTTCCTTCTGTTTATTCCAATAAACAATCTTTCCAAAAGATGTAAAGGGCTCTTCATGTTGTCTGTGGTCCAATCATTTGCCATTAAAGTTTGCAGATTATTTTGACTTTTGTGTTCATAGAATTTACTCCTTATTGGCCTCTCTGTCAGAGGGGAATACCTTACACTCCTGAAATCCTCTTTAAATACAGTGACCTTAAAAGCCATTCATCCATTCCTAAGGAGAACCTTTCAAAGGCTGATGCTTCTCAGTGCTGTGGTTAATTAAACAGGCTAAGCACAGGCAGAAACTTTCCCTTCCTCCTCTGGTTCACACCTGAGAAGGCCCTTGGCTCCCAACACTACCTTGTCTGAGAAGGTGAAGCCCAGGACCCCAGCAGCCAGCTGTAGCAGGAACACGATGGTGAGGCAGAGTGAGAACTGTGGGGAGTGGGCAGGAAAAGGGAAGTCTGTTAGCACATTGGACAGTAGCCCCTCCCAGGGCCATGGGAAGTACTGAGGGGCCATGAGGTACTTCTCCCAGATGACCCCCCACATGGTAAAGGCTGATGCCTCTGGGATGCTGTCTTGCAGGTGGTAACCCTGTGCTGGGTCACCTGGACTGAACTCTGCAGTGAGGAGTGGACAGCACCGACCCTGGGGGTAGGGTGGAACAGAGGAAACCGAAAGGTTGTAGAAATGGCATCGGGAAGCTGAGAAGCACAGGGGGGGCAGGGTCTTTTTAGTGGGGCCCCTGAGCACTCACCGTCTGCAAGAGGCAGATGTTCTCACGGAGGGATCCAATGCAGCCACAGAAGGTGAGCAGAAACATGAGAATGCCCACCACGATCAGCAGGCTGGCTGGGTCCACTGCCAGGTAGGCCAAGACTGCTTCTGAGGGAAGGGGCTGTCTCTCAGTCTGAGCCTGCTGCCGATTCAGGGTGGCACCCAGGAATACGTGGGGGTACTCCCCCAAATATTCTCCTCTCCTGGGGGGCGGTGTCCAGTGTGGCTGGGTGAAGGTTATGGGGATGCAGTACCCCCCTCCCAGGGGAGAACGAAAAGGGCCCAGCAGGGTTTGTAGCATTTACTTTGAGGAATTAACAAAGTAAGAGGCTTTATTCCTTGGCTCAGGAGAGGAGGGACCACTTTCGCTCCAGAAAATAATTAGAATGGCATTAGGCTCGCCAGCTTTACCGATTGTTTCCTGGAGACTTTGTGCACTGGAATAGGAAAGGAGGTTGAGTTACTCCAGGACAGAGTGAGGGAGGGGCTCAAGCCTTTGATTACTTTGCTCCCAGAGGCCTACCTTCTTTCCTGAAACTCCCTAAGCCTAAAAGGCACGCATATTTGAAGATTCATGGTAGCTCTGGGAACCCCAGGTGAACTCGTGTGAGAACAAGCTGCCGAGATTTGGCTAGAGGGCAGCTGCCACCTTTAGCCTCATAGTTTATGTGGAAAGGAGCTGTACAGGGCTGAAGGAGACAGAGGAGGGAGAGGCCTGGCAAGAGTTGTGGGGAGGCAGAGGGGGCCTATAGCTCACCTGCGTGCTTCATCAGCCGAGCATAGACTCCTACGGACACCATGACCATGGAAATCACCTATGGAGACAGGGAACCAGCCAGACCCTGAGATTTTGGAAACCAGAGGCCTGATTGCCATTTTGAACCTTACAGGAGAGTGGGAAGACTTTCCCAGGACCCAGAGATAAGCATCTTTCTCTTCCCCAGTGATACAGTTGATAGTGTCCATCTGTGCTTTACCTCCAGGAAAAGCTTTTACCAAGATTATCTCATTCAATCCTCACAACACAGTTATCTTGTGAGGCACCTATTATCCCCACTTTACAGATGAGGAAATTATAGGTTACAAGGTTAAGAACAATGGCTAAGAACATGGGCTTCAGAGTGACTCAGATCTGGGCGCACGCTGGACAAATCTCGAGACTCGGTTTCTGTATCTGAAGATGACAATTAAAAACAACTACATTAAAAGAAATTAGATGGCCCGGCCGGGCATGGCTCAGCGGTTGAGCGTAGACCTGGAATCCAGGCGATTGGGGTTCGATTCCCGGTCAGGGCACATGCCCAGGTTGCGGGCTCGATCAATGACTGTCTCATCATTGATGCTTCTCTCTCTCCCTCTCCTTTCCTCTCTCTGAAATCAATAAAGATATATTTTAAAAAAAACAACAAAGAAATTAGATGAAAATAAAATAATGTATGGAAAGTATGCACCACAGTGCCTGACCTATCATTACTAAGTTAACTAACTTGCCTTGAGTCACATAGTAACCCCATGAAGTTCTGAATTCTACCCCAGCTACATCAACGGGCAGGTATTCAAGTCAAAGCAGGCTCGAGTAGATGCTCACTCCCAGGTCTCTAACTCTCTTGAAGGTCAACATGGTGTCAAATGCAAGAATGAAAGTGCATACCAAGTGAAAGAATGCATGCATGAATTTGTGTGTGTAAAAACAGCAGAACTCCCTGGCAAAGGAACCTTTATCTTTATAAACCCTGATTACAGTGTGGAGGAAGGGAGGAGTGTAGGCCTTTCAAACTTCCTGACTGCCCCAAGAGAACAAACCCATCAGAGACTACCAGGGTCCCCAAAGGGACCTTTCTGCCACCTCCCAAGGCCTCTAGGAGTGCAGGGCTGCCCAGTTTGCACATCCCTAGGCCACCCTTTCTTTGTGCCCAGTCCCCAGGCTGGTGCTAAGCAGCAGCTGGCTGTCACCACGGCAATAGTGGGGCCAAGCTCTGGCTGGAGTGAGTTCTCAGCAGCAGGGACTTGACCAATTCAGTGGGGGGAGATGGCTGGCTAGACTCCACTATCCCGCAAGACAGACACCAGCTTAAAAGAGCCATCTTGGGTTTTTTTCTGGGAGAAGGTAATTGGTTCCCTATAGCATGTAATAGGGTCAGGCTAAGCCCTTAGTAGGAAGACATTTTTTCCTCAGGGGCTTCTGCCATCTGGAGTATTGGGCAGTAAATGGGAAACCCTTACCTAAAACCATGTCTTCCAGGACCCATCTCTGCATATATACAGGGTCCCCCTCCTTATCCCTCAGTCCTTTGACACTGTCTCTGATTCTGGGCCAGATGTGTTATCTTTGTTCAGGGAGCTGCTTGTAGAGCTGAGGGTGGGGCTGGAGGTGTTAATTGGCTTTTTGTCCCAAGCACAACCATGCCCAGGGATCAATGGGGTAGGTGGGAGGCAAGGAAACCACATGACAGAAATCCAGTCATCCCCAGGCCCAGAAGCATAGCTCTTTGCCAGAGTGATTGAGCATCTCTGCCTGCTCTTTAAAACACCACAGGCAATTACAGTTCTGAATATCACTTTACTGACTCATTTAAAAATATGTATCTGCTCTTTATTTTTGTTGCTTTCAGGTGCCTCACTGTTTTTTCACATGTTAAAATTTCACGAGAGTGTATAACTTTCCACAAAGATGGTCTCTGATAAAATCCTAACACAGCTAAAACAAGACAGGGAAAGTAAAGAGCTACCATGTATCACAGGGTAACTTAATTTCAGGTGTGGTCCTGTAGCTATAGCAGTCGTTCTGTCTCTATTTGTGGTAGATAGACTAGGGTCCCCCCAAAGATGTTCTGTACTAATTCCCAGAACCTGTGAATATGTTACCTTATGTGACAAGAGGGGATTTGCAAATGTAATGCAGTTAAGGATCTTGAGATGGGAAGAGTATCCAGTTGGGCCCAATATTATCACAAGAGACCTTAAAGGGGGAGGCAAAAGGGTCAGGGTCAGAGGAGATACGTACGACAAATAGAAACAGAGGTGGGAGTGATGTGGTGGCATGAGCCAAGGAATGCAAGCAGCCTCTAAAAGCTGGAAAAGCAAGGAAATGGATTCTCTCCTAGAGCGTCCAGAAAAAACCATCCCTGCTGACACTTTGATTTTAGGCCAGTGGAGCTTTTATGGACTTCTGAGCTCCAGAACGGTAAGAAAATTAACTTGTGTTGTATTAAACCATTAAGTTTGTAGTAATTTTTTACAGCAGCAATAGGAAACTAATACACTATCCAAGCGAATTAATCAGCTGCTATGTACAAGGTACTCTGAGGACTGCAAAGATGAGTAAGATGTGGCCCCTGCCCTTAAGGACACCCATGTGTTATGTGGGAGATGGGCAAGAGCATCTGTAGCCTAAAGCAGTGCTTTTCAACCTTGGTTGCCATTAGAATGGGGTGGAGAAGGAGAACTTAAAAACCCCTGATGCCTAGGCTGTACCCCAAAATAAGTATATCTGAATCTCTGGCATTGGAACTTAGGCAACAGTAGTTCTGTGTTCCAGGTGATTCCAATGTGCAGCCAAGTTTGAGAACCACAGCCTAAAGCATACTCAGCCAAGGACCTAGAGCAGCAGCTGCAGGCTATATTATAATCAAGATTAAGACTTTAATATTATCATTAATATTTAATACAATCATTAATGAGACCACTTACCCTGGTGTTCACTAGCTAACTCTAAAATTTTGCATTTTAGTCACTGATCTGCCTCTTTCTCCTGGAGTCACAAGTTGCCCTTTCACACTTCTTTTCCTGCCCAGATCTCCCACCCTGAAGTCCTCAAAGCTCCTGCCATTCCAAAGTAGTGCTGCTGTCGTTAATAGCAGAGCATTTTGAAACTGAATAGAATCTTTTTTTTTTAAAATATATCTTCATTGATTTCAGAGAGAGGAAGGGAGAGGGAACAGGGAGGGATAGAAACATCAATGATAAGAGAATCATCATTGATCGGTTGCCTCCTGCATGCCCTGGACTGGGGATGGAGCCCACAACCAGGGCATGTGCCCTGACCAGGAATTGAACCCAGATCTCCTGGATCCTAGGTCAATGCTCAACCGCTGAGCCACACCCAGCGGGGCCTGAATAGAATTTTAGAAATGAGTCGGCCACTCACCTCTTTTTATAGATGAGGCACAAAGAGCAAAGTGATACCTGACCAAGTGCACATAGGTGGCAATATCTGGACTAAATCCAATTTCTGATCTCAGTCTGGTTCTCTTTCCACTATATCAGTCTTTGCCACAAAACCTTTATAATACCCCACAGTATCACCAATGACCTCCCTCATGATAAGGATGGAGATAAAGATACTTCTCACTTACAATGACTTTTCATATTCTGGTTAGAATAAAGTCTTGCTGAAAACTTTAAAAAACTAGACACAGTTTTTAAAATAGCTGAGTCCAGCAAAAGGCATGTTCTTGAAGAGTTATCGATCAAATTATATAAAATAATTCGCATATACCAGTACCTTTATCCATAAGTGAGGTAAGTAATCACCTAAAAATGAAAATGGCCATTCCCTGGGCTCCTTGGAAAGTGGCTGATTCTAGAACTAGGGCAGGAAATATACAAGATAAGCCTGGAGCATCTTGTAGTACCAGAAAGTAAGGAAATAATCAAAAACAATTAAAAAACCCCAAAAACAAAACCTCACATTGATATGAGTATGCCAAAGAGACATCAAAATAAAGAAGTAGAGAATTATTATCCCAAATATAAAATAATGTCCATGAGTCCATACTGATATAAATGACTTAATAAATGGGGGAGAAAAGACAAATCTCCTATGTAGGAGAACTCCAAATAATTTATGTAGATACTGCTCTCTCGAGGAGGTAGAGCATAACTTCCCACTCCTAAGTGTGTGCTGCACATAGTAACTTCCTTCCAAAGAGTGCAGTATGGAAAAGAGGGAAAAGATTAACTTTACAGTGGAGAAACCTGACAAACACTACTTCCTTCAGCCAGGTGATCAAGGCCAACATCAACAGAGCGAAATCACTGGTGTATGACATGATGTGATGGAAATGGCACTTCACCCCTGTGGTCTTCCTCCCCAAACCCCATAACCCCAATATAACCAGGAGAAAAGCATCAAGCAAGTCCCAATAGAGGGATATTCTACAAAATATCTAACCAGTATTCCTCAAAATTGTCAACGTAATCAAAACCAAGGAAAATCTGAGAAATTGTCACAGCCAAGAAAAACCTAAGGAGATATGACAACTAAATGAAATTGGTTTTATCCTAGATGGCATTAAGTAAAAACTAAGGAAATCTGAATAGAGTATAGAATACTCTAATAGAATTAATGGATAACAATAATGCCATTAATTCTAACAAATATATCATACTTGTGTAAGATGTTAACAGTAAGAGAAACTGGACATGAGGTATATGGGAACTCTCTGTACTACCTTCTCAATTTTCCTCTAAAACTGAAAATGTTCTAAAAAGTGAAATACAGCCCGGCCAGGTGTGGCTCAGCAGTTGAGTGTCGACCTAGGATCCAGGCGATCGGGGTTCGATTCCCGGTCAGCGCACATGCCCGGGTTGTGGGCTCGATCCCTAGTCAGGGGTGTGCAGGAAGCAGCTGATTAATGACTCTCTCATCACTGATGTTTCTATCTCTCTCTCTCCCTCCCCTTTCCTTTCTCTGAAATCAATAAAGACATATTAAATAAAAATAAAAATAATAAAAATAATAAAAATAAAAAGTGAAATACATACTTTTAAAATAGCCACCCCGAAATTATTAGTTTTGTAAATCCTCATTTTT